TGAAAACCTAATTACAGCGGGAAAGCACAAAATCTAAGTCCCCGTACTAACTGCGGCTAAATATCAACCAGTCAGTGGAAAGCAGTTAAAGAAAATTGGAGCAATTTTCTTCAACCTCGACATTCAAGAAAGGACGTGGTTTTGTGGGATGTATCTTGTTAGCGAACCATCAACTTCAGGGAGTCAAACCCATTTAGCGTGTATTTTTCCTCCAAATTGTGAAGACATCACATATGACCAGGCAAGTTTCCTGTGCAGTAGACTGTATTTCTGCAACAATAGTGACGTTTACCTTGAGAGGCATTTTGCAGTATTCATTGAGTTGGGGCACATCAAAAACGAGGCGTCGCAGGAGCTGCTGTAACATGGAAGGCCTCAAGTGACTGCAGTAGGAAATAAGAAACATAGAAAAAGAAAATGAAAACGTAAGAAAAACAATAAAGGAGGAATGAAAGAAACGCTCAACAATAAGCATATTACAGCCGAGAAAACAGCTCCTAATACACAAGATCTCGGAGAAACAAGAATACATGATAAAACACTTGAAAACAGTATAGTTAAAATTCAGAAAAAGAGTGCTAACGAATTGGGATACCCAAGGTGGAACTCTAGTTGCTATGTGACAAAATGTGCTAGGATATATGCATACTCAAAATATAATCACTGATTATGTGCAAAGAATAGAACAGAAAGAAGGTGCAGCTCAGGTTCTAGTCATCTCTAGGGCCCCCTGAACTCTGCAGAGGGAGAAACTGGAGTTGAGCAGCTCCACAGGTGGACTCTGAGGCCACCTACTGGTGTGATTTGAAGAGAACTTTAAAGCCCTGTGCCTTACGATCTGGTCCATGAAATTCTCACTACTGGAATCATTTGTTTGGGGTAAGGCTTTATTCTCAAAACAACTCCATTAATAGGCAAATACAGTAACTATTTAAAGAATAATCCATCAAATTACAGAGTTCATGGCACAAATAAATTTTGAGGTAGAGAAAGGAGAGGTAAGCAACACGGATTTTGCTTTTTCACATTGCCAAACTTTGAAGACACCTAGTGGAACCTATGGTTTTCTCCAGAGAAAGGTGTACACACACAAACACAATTTGATATGTAAGTTCAGCTCATGAATCCCTGGATTTTTCCCACTATTGCCTAAGGAGCTATGGAGGTAAAGCTAACACTCCTTTGTGGAATGTTGGGATGCCAGGGAAGAAATCCTTGGAGCATCTACAGTAAGAAGAACGTACGCAGATGGAGAACAAAAGTCATCTTTTTCACAACTGTTTCTGGAGCTGGCGTTGCGTTAAAAAGCCCAGGGTGAAAATATACAGTGAGTAAGTAGCCTTGTCTCAGAATCTAATAGTTAGAATGCAAAAATTACTCGGTGTTTCACATTATTATCCAGTTAATCAGCAATTATCACCTAAGATTCACTAACTTGAATACAAGCAAAGAGTGCAATAAATCTGTAATTCTGCGAATTCCTGACTTATTAAAATAAACAATGAAAAAACCTAGTTAAGTATCAGTTTGCCTGCTACATCTGGAGCTCAACTGAGCAAGAAGAAAAGCTCTAAAAGTACAGTAATAGGGCTGTGAGCTCTACTTTTTGTTTGATGTAAAATTCTAGTTTCTTGGCCGGGGGTGGTGGCTCACGCCTGTAATCTCAGCACTTTGGGAGGCCAAGGTGGGCGGATCCCCTGAGGTCAGGAGTTCGAGATCAGCCTGGCTAATATGGTGAAACCCTGTTTCTACTAAACATACAAAAAATTAGCTGGGCGTGGTGGCGGGCCTGTAATCCCAGCTACTCAGGACGCTGAAGCAGGAGAGTCACTTGAACCTGGGAGGCAGAGGTTGTGCTGAGCTGAGATCATGCCACTGCATTCCAGCCTGGGCAACAAGAGCAAAACTCCATCAAAAAAAAAAAACAAAGCCGGGCGCGGTGGCTCACGCCTGTAATCCCAGCACTTTGGGAGGCCGAGATGGGCGGATCATGAGGTCAGGAGATC